AGTGCAAAGCCGAGAATAACAATCCTGTTTCTCCTTGTGAGGAGCCTGAGACCAAAGGGTTCGCAACACTGTCCGGGGAATCTTATGAAGTGTTATCTGTGAGCTCACGGCGTCAGTCTTCACACCCGAGCATATTTTTATTGACTTTAGAGAGAAAGGAAGGGGGTGGGGAGAGAGAGAGAGAGACAGAGATTGATGTGAGAGAGAAACAGATCAGCTGCACGTGCCCTGAGCAGGGATTGAAGCCGCAGCCGTTTGGTGCATGCGGACGGTGCTCCAGCCAGCCGAGCCGCCGGCCAGGGCGATCTCCGCTTCCGCAGATGGGGCTCACGGGGCAAAAGCAGCAGCCCAGGGTCACACCGCCCCCTAGCAAGTGAAGGCGCTGACGTTCAGATCTAGGCCTATCTGATTCCAGAGCTCAGGCTTGCTGTCCTTGTAGGTCACAGAAGGACAGTTTTGAGCAGAGACTTTCTGCTCTTTGTCATGGAATTTTTGTCAGCCCCTGGAGGCATGCAGGCCGGATGGTTGTGGTAGAACAGACTCCTATGCCGAGTGCGTCTTTAAGATGCCCGAGAAGGTCTGACTTGTTCCTGGAGGCCATTTCCAGGTCATTATGAAGGTCTGTGTCTCAATGTGAGAGTTAGAACATATCTCATTTAACTGTTTGTTAATTTTAAATACTTAGTCATATGATATATGAGCCTTCATTTGAATTTCACCAATTTTGGGAGGGAGCCTGGGTGTTCAATTTTTTTTCCCTTTTCTTTTCTTTCTTTCTTTCTTTTTTTTAAAGTTAAAGTATAATGGACATATAACATATTAGTTTCAAGTTTACAACATAAGATTCGCTATATGTGTGTATTTGAAAATGATCATCCCTGTAAGCGTAGTTAACATCCGTCACCACACATAGTTACAGAATTTTTTCTTGTGATGAGGACTTTTAAGACTTACTCTCTTAGCAACTTTAAAATATACAAGGCAGTATCGTTGACTATGGTCCTCATGCTGTCTGTTACACCCAGGACCTATTTAGAACTGGAAGTTTTCATTTGCTTGTTAACGGTTTGTAAGAGTTACTAAACATTCTTTAGGATCACAACCTTTTCTAGTTTGCGGTTTGCCTGTAAGTTGGTTTCAATTTCACCATGTTTCATGATATTGAAAAATTGTATATATATATTTAATATATTTTGTATTTTGATTTTTAGAGAGAGGAAAGGGGGGAGAGAGTGAGGGAGAAAAAACATCGATTTTTGTTTTACCTATTCATGCATTAACAATGTTTCATGATATTCAGAAATTATATTTTTTGACAGTCATATCCAAATACTTTTTTCTCTGTGATGTCTTTTAGGTAATCGAGTTCCTATCAATCTTTCTATAAGGGCTTTGAAGTTCTCTCTGATATTAACTTACAGTAAAAGGGACCCTTTCAGACATACGCCCTGGGCCTGTCTGCCCAGTATGCTGTTTCTTAGATCTGGCTTTCCTGAGGCGAGTCTGAGATTCTTGTTTCTGGGCTTTCATTTTGCTTTAGTTTCTGAAGCCTTGAAGTCAGGCTTCCCTCTTTTCATAGCACGCATCCTTCAGAGGGCCTCGCTGGAGTTTTCCTCAGCTGAATGTTCTTTTAGTTTTACTTGTGCTAGATCAGGGTTGGCAAGCTGCACTGTGAGGGCCAAGTCCTCCCTCTGCCTGTTTTAGTAAACAGTTTTATTGCAACACAGCCACGCCACTCGTTTATATGTGCCTGTGGCTGCTTTTACACCGAGATGGCAGAATTGGGCAGTTAAGACAGAGCTTGTGCGAAAAAGCGTGTACCCCTGTTCTGGACCCGCGCGGCTGCCTGCTTCCTGCTAACTGGTTTTCTTTTCTTCAGGAAAAAAATTGGCATCCCTCCCTCACGGCCTATTTGCTTCTGTTAAGTTCTTTGATGGTCCTGACTGTCTTTCCTTTTTTTTTTTCCTCATTCAGTTTTTCTTTAAATTCTCACCTAAGGATATGTTTATTGACTTTCTTGGAGAGACGAAGGGGCAGCGGGGAGGAGGGGAAGGGGAGAGACAGACAGACAGACAGACAGACATTGGCTGCCTCCCACGTGTGCCCCCCACCAGGATCGAACCAGCGGCCTAGGTGTGTGCCCTGACAGGGAAGCAAACCCCCGACCTTTTGATGTACAGGACGATACTCCAACCAACTGAGCCACTGGGCCAGGTCTTATCTTTATAACTAGAATATCTCTGGACCGAGTGATAGGGGAACTCAAGAGTTAAAGATTTTTAGCCCTGGCTGATGTGGCTCAGGGGACTGAGTGTAGGCCTGCAAACTTCAGGGCGCCCCCCTGGTTTGGGGGCCAGGTCCCCAGCTGGGGGCATACAGGAGGCAACCAGTCGCTCTTTCTCTCCCTCTCTTTCTCCCTCCCTCCCCTCTCTCTAAAAATAAAATAAATAAAATCTTTAAAAAAAAAGTCAAAGATTTTAGCAGCGGTTATAGTCGAGAGGCTTGAGTGATTAATGCACGTGGAAGGCTGGTGTTCCAGGAGCTGGAACACTCCACGTGGCTCCAGGAGGCTGACGAGCAGGAAGCCTCTGTGCCCCGGGGCCCGTGAGCCATCTGGGCCACTGTGTTCCGGGGAGGGAATGTCTTCCTGAAGCAGATGAAGAAATACTAGGAAAATCGCAGCTGGATTGCAACTCTTCTCTAATTAACCTTTTCTCCAAACCCTTTACTACCCCTTTCTTCTCCTTACAAAAAGGTCAGCTTGGGATGAGACATTAAGACGGTTTTTAAGGCATATAACCTGCCGTCTTTGCTGGCATCTGGATACAGTGCCCATAAAGATTCAATCCTTGTCTCTACTTATTGGTTCTGGTAATGACAGGCAGCTTGAATGCTGACTTTTCTGGTTTCACAAGTGCTTTTCTTTTATTGATTCTAGAGAGAGGGGAAGGGATCGAGAAAGACGGAGAGAAACATCGATGTGAGAAATATCAATTAGTTGCCTCTTGCACATGCCCTGACTGGGGATTGAACCCACAACCCAGGCATGTGTCCTGACTGGGAATTGAACTGGCAACCTTTCAGTTTGCTGGAGGATGCCCAACCGAGCCACTCTGTCCAGGGTGTTGACCAAACACATTATTGTGGTTTTCCTCCTATATCTTTAGAACTAAAATCTAAAATTTACTCTTCCAGAATTAAACTTTCAGCAAACTTCCAGAACATTTAAATGATCATCATCAATTTCTCTGGCTCCATTGCTGTGGAAGAGCATTTTTAGGGGCAGAGCCATTTATTCATTTTTTTCCCTCTTCCTGTAAGGATCACTGACTTGCAGATTATCCCAAGGACCACTAGGTGGCTGGTCAACCAGGGCTCTGCCCTGTTGGTGTATTTGAGGGTCTCCAGGCTGAACTGTGTTTATCTCCAGAAAAATGAACTCTGTGAGCGGGGAAAGATCGCATTAGGACCATTTCCTTTCAAACAGAGCCCCATGTTCCAAATGAGTACAAAATACCCTCAAAAACATTCTAAGATAGATTTTCCCCGCTGAGATAGAGGAATTGATTATAACAATTCAGGATTTCTACTGAAGCCTCATGGTGTGAACTAAAATGGTCAGCCGGCTCAGAGTTACTTCCCATTTAATGAACAGAGATACGTCCATTAGGCACAGTGCCTAGAGCCTACAATACTAGTAAGGGGGCCCATGAAGTTGTTGAAATTTCTTTTTAAGAGCAGAAGAAATAAATCAGGTTTTAGGATTGAAGATTGTATTCATCTTTACACCATTGCAGCTGTAAAGTATAAAAAATTTAAGTTTTGGTAACATTTAAATAAATTTCAATAATGACAATGTTAGAAGCTTTGCCTTTTGCAGGTTCTTGGACTGTTGCAGACACTGTAAATTCTTGGCCCACATCCCCTTGGCTTTTACTGTTTCCTTGAATTCCCTGTACACGTGGAAAGTTGGAAGTGCTAGGAGATTTGCGTTTGCTGGTAGAAGCTCTCAAGCAATGACAAATGAGGGGCTGATGTATAAACACCCCACGGTTCAATTCTACTTGCCCACAGTGGTAATTTCCTTGAAGTGCATTTTATTGTCTGTCTCCTTTCCCCACTCCCCCACCTACATTTTGAGGGGTGACGTCCCAGATAAACTATTTGCTCTTGAATCCTTTCCTCAGGATATATTTCTAGAGGACTCATATTAAAGCAATAATATTCTCACCATCTCTCCCTACCCCAAATATCTATTCCTTATAGGTTTCTGTAGTTTTCTTTTCTTTTTTAAAAAATTGAAATGTATTTGACATATTTACATTATTTCAGTTTAAGTTGTCTAACACGTTAATTTGATACATTTATATGTTATAATAGAGTTGCCATTGTAGCAGTAATTAGCACCTCTGTCACAGAATTATCTGTGTGTGTGTGTGTGTGTGTGTGTGTGGTGGGAATAATTAAGATCTAGTCTCTTAGCAAGTTTGGTAATTATCACACAATATTGTTGTCTGTATTCCCTCTACTGTGCGTTAGATCTCTAGGACTTCTTTATCTACTAGTTGCAAGTTTGTACCCTTAAACATCTCTTTCTTACTCTGTGTTTTATGAGTTTAACTCTTTCAGATTCCACACATGAGTGAGATCGTAAGGTAGTTGTCTTTTTCTGGCTGACTTGTTTCCCTTAGAGTAATGCCCTTAAGGCCTGTCCACGTTGTCCCGAATGGCGGGCTTTCGATCTTTCTCAAGGCTGGGTAAGTGTTGCGCTGTATATATCGTCCCATCTCCATGAGCCACTCCGCTGTTGATAGGCACTTAGGTTGTTTCCATATCTATGATTTTCTTGTTATTGAAGAGACACTTGCCCGCTGGGTGATACTAGGAAAACAAGTGACATCATTTCTGAGTCTCTCTTTTCTTCTTTGTAAAACAAGGGGGATTCTCTTACCCTACCAGTCCCAGCGGCGTAGGACACCCCTAGTCACTTGTTCTCTTGCATGTCCCCGGTCTTTTCTTCTCAGACCCCTAAAAGGCAGTGGGAAAACGCCACCTGGCTGGTCACAGAGTTTGTGCTGGTGGGTTTCTCCAGCCTCCCCGGCCTGAGGACCACCCTCTTCACGCTGTTCTTCCTCATGTACCTGGTCACCCTCAGCGGCAATGTCACTATCATCACCATCATCCACGTGGATCGGACCCTTCACACGCCCATGTACCGCTTCCTGGCGGTGCTGTCCCTCTCCGAGACCTGCTACACGCTGGTCACTGTCCCTAACATGCTGGCTCACCTGCTCATGGAGAGCCAGGCCATCTCCATCGCTGGCTGTCGCGCGCAGATGTTCTTCTTCCTGGGCCTGGGTTGCAGCCACTGCTTCCTCCTGACCCTGATGGGCTACGACCGCTACGTGGCCATCTGCCACCCGCTGCGTTACTCGGTGATCATGAGACCTGCGGCCTGCCTCTGCCTGGGAGCCCTGGTTTTCTGCGGGGGGTTCTCAGTGGCCTTGATCGAGACGGGCATGATCTTCTCCTCGCCCTTCTGCCGCAGCGACCGCGTGGAGCACTTCTTCTGCGACATCGCCCCAGTCCTGAAGCTCAGCTGCGCGGAGAGCGCGGGCAAAGCCCTGGCCATCTTCTTCCTCAGCGTGCTCGTGGTGCTGGTCTCCTTCCTCCTCATCCTCCTCTCCTACGCCCTCATCGGCGCCGCCATCCTGAGGATGCGCTCCGCAGCCGGCCGCCGCAGGGCCTTCTCCACCTGCGCCGCCCACCTCACCGTGGTCGTCGTGCATTTCGGCTGCGCCTCCATCGTCTACCTGCGGCCCGAATCTGGAGGAAGCGCTGACCAGGACCGCCTGGTGGCTGTCTTCTACACGGTGGTGACGCCGCTGCTGAACCCCGTGGTGTACACTCTGCGCAACAGGGAGGTGCGGGTGGCTCTGAGGAGGACGCTGGCACGCAGCCGTGGGGGTTCCAAATAGACGCTTGCTCTGGGATCGCGCTCTGGCTTTCCCTGGGCCGCGTGCCCCCGCCTGACATTCAGTCCCCTCACCTGGAAAACAGGGGCCATTCCCAGACCCTTAAATGAAATACCCGGTTTCACGAGGCAATGAACACACAGTTCCGAAGGCCTACCGTGAACTCGGTAAAGGCTGCCTTTTCCTTGCATCTCGAGTACCTTGACTTGGTTGGGATGGGAGGTGGAAGGCGATAGGTCTGCAGTTCAGGGTAGTTGCCAGTGGAGGGCGCCAATGACCCTGCCCAACCTAGACAGGCAGCGGAAGGTAGTGATTTAGTCAGCAGTGAGCAGGGTCTGATACTAGGACTGGCATCCCTTTATTTTGTCTCATTCAGAACTTCTCCCACTTTTTTTGGGGGGGGGGGCGCTGTCTGTTGCCCACCCGAGGCTGCCTTTATTTTCCCTGCAGGACTGCAAGCTTGACTGCAGTTGGTTTCATGATTATCTTCCACCTCTCCTCCCTTTCCATTATTTCCCTTATTTCTTTGTTGCATGATGGGAGAAAAAGAAAGAAGCGGGAATTTAAAAATTTTTATCGTGATAAAATATAAATAACGAAACTTGTTTAGTGTACCGTTCAGTGCTGTTGATTGTATTCACAGTCTTGTGCGACCATCACTGCGGTCTGTTTCCCACACTCTCTCCCATCTTAGACTAAAACTCTGTACCCAGTACGCAATGACTCCCCATTTCCCCCTCTTCTCAGTCTCCGGTAACCTCCAATCTACTTTTTGTTACTATGAACTTGCCATTCTAAATATTTCACAGAAGTGAAATAATTTAATATATGTCCTTTTGTGCCTGGCTTATTTCACTTAGCATAATGTTTTGAAGGTTCATCCAAATTGTAACATGTATCAGAACCTCACCATTTTCGATGGCTGAACGATATTCCATTGCAGAGACATACATTCTGTTTGTTCATTTATCTGTTAGGAAACTTGGATTGTTTCCACCTGTTGGCTACTGTGAATAGTGCTGCTGTGAACGTTCATGTGTAAGTATCTGTTTGAGTCCCCACTTTGAATTGCCCTGGGTATGTACCTAGGAGTGGAATTACTGGATCATAAGGTAACCATTTGTTTAACTCTTTGAGGAGTCACCAAACTCTTTTCCATAGTGCTGTATGTTCCCACCAGCAGTGTATGAGGGTTGCAGTTTTTTTTTTTTCACATGGTTGCCAACACTTGTTATATTCCATTAAAAAAATTACAGTCAGCCTAGTAGATGCCAGTGGTATCTCACTGTGGTTTAGTAGTTCACTTTTGTTTAGTTAAACCCTGGTGATGGATTGAAATCAGCCGAAGTTTCTTCTCTGACCCCAATGAAATGCCATGAGAAGTCAGTAACAGAAGGAAAACTGGATACTTCACAAATATGTAGCAATTAAACAACACATTCTTTAAAATTTTTTTTTTAAGATTTTATTTATTTACTTTTTTTAGAGAGAGGGGAAGGGAGGGAGAAAGAGAGGGAAAGGAACATCAATGTGAGACACATCGATCAGTTGCTTCTTGCCTGCTTCCAACTGGGGACGTGGCCTGCAACCCAGGCATGTGCCCCAACTGGGAATTGAACCATTGACCCTTTGGTTCGCAGGCTGGTGCTCAATCCACTGAACTACATCAGCCAGGACTAAAAAAAAGTTTTTCTTTAAATGTATATGTTTATGGATTCTAGAGAAAGAGGAAGGTAGGGGCGGGAGGGAGAGAGAGACATCTATGTGAGACAGAAACATTGCTTGGTTGTCTCTCATGTGTGCCCTGACTGGGGACTGAACCGGCAACCTAGACATATGCCCTGACCAGTAAGCGAACCCTGAGCCTTTTGGCACACTGGACGGTGCCGCAGCCAACTGAGCCGCACCAGCAAGGGCAACAACACATTCTTAACCGATGGGCCAAATAAGAAATTCCGAGTTAGATTAGAAAATACTTTGAGATGAATGAAAATGAAAATACAACATATCCAAACATGTAGGATATAGCAAAAGCAGTGCTCACAGGGAAATTCATAACTGCAAGTGCTTACATTAAAAAAGAGAAAGATCCCAAATTGATAATTTAACTTTATACCTCAAGGAACTAGGAAAAATAAATCAAGCTAAACACTGCTGGCGGGTCTTCTGCCATGTTTCCCAGGGAACTGTGGTCTGCGCTTACCATGCTGGGCCTTCCACCTGTCCCAACAGGTCTGCCCTTCTCCACTCTGCTCTGTGTCTTAGGAGACCAACCTGTACGGACCACACTGCCAGGTCCCTGCCCTCCGGCTGCTGGTTGCATTTGGCCAATGGCAGGCACAGGCAGGAGGTGGAACACAGGAGGAGACAAGGTCAGGGTGTTACTCACCCAGTCCCCTGTCCACCTGGTGGCTGTGAGTGGCTGCCCTCTTAAGCAGAGACCACGGTTCCTTCCACACAGCCACCCTCTCTGGGCAGCTGACCCGCGCACCTTCAGGCGTGTGGGTGTTAATAGCTCTCCAGCGTTGCCTGCTGTGGAGCGCGCCAGCCTTTACCTCTGCCCACGCCTTTATAAACGGCCTCTTTAAGAACCTCTCCCTGTGTTTTCCATCAAGAGTGTCATTGTTTCCTGTTGGATCCTGGTTGAAAAACTTACAAGTGGAATCTCTTAAAAAGGAGGGAGGTAAAAATCTAAGGACGACTCTCCCTCTGATCATGTCAGGGAACCTAGCCACCCTCTCTGGCAACTTCTCATGCGGACCCCTGTGCTTTGCCTTTGAGATGCCTCTCCTTGGTTCTTTGGTTTCCAATTCTACCACTCATTTGGCGTAGCTCAGCATGTATATGGTTACATGACTCTCAAAGGGACAAGATTCTGAAAATCCTAAACAGGTGTGTTTGTTGAAACCCTCTCCTTTTCCCCATTAAATAGGAAATTATCCTGCTATTGTTGTCCAGTGGACAAAGGAGAGCGATGTCTACTTCAGGAAGGGATAGGGAGAGAAATCCTTTCTAGTACTGGAAGGAGAGAAGAGAGGGTGGAGGTGGGTGTTGGGGAAACAAGCGGTCAGGCACGGAAATCCTGAAATCTAAAAGAGGAGGCAGAGGGAGGAGCCTTTAAGAGAGTGTCCTGTGAACCTACCTCTTGGTGCTCATGACTTCATGTCCTTCCCTCCCTTTGACTAACTTGCTTCTAACCAACAAAATATGAAAATATCGAGGGGATGTTACTTTCGTGATCAAGTTACAAAGCCTCTGATTTCTGTCTTGCTGGCATCTCTCTCCCTTGCTGGCTTTGACGGAGCAAGCGCCATGTATGAGTAGCCCCCAACCAACAGCAAGGGACTGTGGCTCTTAGTCCCACAGCTCTTGAGGAACTGACTCCAGCCTAGAACCAAAGAGAACTAGGAAAATAATTTTCTCCATTCAAGCCTTCAGATAAGACCTCAGCCCTGGACAATATCAGATAGTGTGAGGTAGAGGTCCCCAGTTAAGCCGTGCTTGGATTCCTATCATATAGAAACCCTGAGATAATAAATGTGCGTGGCTTTAAGTCACTAAGTTTGGGGTAATCTGTTATGCAGCAATAAATAACTAATAGTTCACTAACTGATAACTAATAAGCGATGTGTGTACGGGGGAGGAGGCGCAACGAGGGCCTTCTTTTCTCCCCCACCCCCGCCATGCGGACCCTAGGAAGAGCCTACCACGCAGGCAGGCTCCCTCAGCATCCCAGTTTTCTCTCTCACTTCTTTCTCACAGAGCCCTGCTGTAGATTAGGTCTCAGGGAAATCCTGGGAGTTGGGCTTTTGCTAGCCCCAGAATTGAGAATTTCGATGATTATAAGCCAATCATAATCACTCTATTCTCTTAGTAGAGAGTGGTGTTAAATGGGCACATGACTCAGTTCTGCCCAGCATGAGTGGGAGCGAACTCAGCAAAGGGGCGTTCTGTAATTTCCTTGCATTTAAAAAAAAAGCTGTGAGACGAGATATGTTCTCTTCTTGCCTCTCTTTGAGTCTGAGTGAGAAGGTGATATCTGGAGCTGCTGCAGCCATCTTGTGACAGAACATCTGGGAACGGCAGAGTAGAAAAGGTGAAAAAACTCTGCCCTCCATGACATTTCTTGGTATGTAAGAGAATAAACTTAAATTGTCCGTCTTATTGATGGGTATCACTTAAACCCACTGGCATTTGGTTTTTTCAATCCTTGCTGCCCAAGGCCCACCCCTCCCCTTGCTACTCTTTGGAGGCCAAAGGCTGAGGGGCAAGACTGAAAAAGCTACAGGCGGTAAAGATGGCTCATTTTCTTTCCCTATCCACTGTTGTCCTCTGGGAGGTGCCTCACTGTCCTCTGTCCCCATGGCCGCTGGTGAAACCATCTCAGCTCATTTCCTGCTGGTACTATTCTGGGGGAATTGGGTGGTTGATCTAGAAATCAGTGCGTTAGAAGTAGTACATGAGTATCCTGTCGGGAAACAAGGGTGGGAGTTGCCTTTAGTGTGACGGGGCCACCGTACCCTCTCTTAGGGAAGACGGAATTTGACACGTGTTTGTATCGGGTCAGGGCTTTCATTCTCTCTCTTTCCCGGGGGGAGCACTGGCGAAATTAAAGAAAGCATGACTGTTAGCAAAATGAGGAATTAAAAGTTATGCTCTCCCTTCCATCAGGATAGCTAGGGCAAACCCCAGAAAATAACAAGTGTTGATGAGGATGCGGAGGGACTGGAAGCCTTGTGCACTGCTGGTGGGAATATAAAATGGTGCAGCTGCCATGGAAAACAGTGTGGTGGCTCCTCAAGAAATAGAAAATAGAACCACTATCTCATCTAGCCATTCAGCTTCTGGGTATATGTCCAAAAGAATTGAAAGCAGGGTCTCGGGGAGGTGTGGTGCACCTACGTTCATAGCAGCATTACTCAAAATTGACCATCTTAACTGGTTTAAGTGTACAGTTCAGTGCCATTAAATACAGCCACATGCTCTGACCCAGTAGCTCAGCTGGTTGGAGCATCATCCTGATATGCCAAGGTTGTGGGTTCAATCCCTGGTCAGGGCACATAAAAGAGTCAACTAATAAATGCACAAATAAGTGGAACAATGAGTCAATGTTTCTTTCTTTCTCCCTTTCTCTCAAATCAATTTTAAAAAAGAAAAAAAGAAAAAGAAAAAAATAGACCCACATGGCTGCGCAGCCACCACCACCACCTGTCTCCAGAACTCACCGGTACCTTGCAAAACCGAAACTGTCCCCATTAAACCCGAACTCCCCATTCCCCTCCCCCCAGTCACTGCCAACTGTCAGTCTACTGCCTGCCTGCCTCTATGATTTTGAACGCATGAAGTACCTCATATAAGTGGGAACATTTGGTGTTTGTCTTTTTGTGACCACCTTATTTCACTTAGCATCACGTCTTCACGTTTCTTCCATCTGACAGGGTCCTTAAATCTGAAGGCTGCCCTCATTGATTTCCTGGCCTCTACGCTCGGACCTCGGTGTTTTCTGGAGGCTGCTGACAGAGGCACAATCTCTCGCTATAATTGCCTCCTCAGGGCCACCTTGTATCACTGCTTTCTGGGGAGTCCCAGATCACCAGCCTCAGCCCATTTAAATTGTAGCCTACACGGAGGGAGACTACCTTAATATGATTGTGGTCCCTTCCATCTCTGCTTGCTTAGGACACCTCTTTTTCTCTCTTTTTAAACAGTGGCACGAAATACCAAACACGCCCTGGCTGTGTGGCTCAGTGGATTGAGCACCAGCCTGTGAACCAAAGGGCCACTGGTCCCATTCCCGGTCAGGGTACATGCCTGGGTTGTGGGCCAAGTCCCCAGTTGAGCATGAGAGAGGCAACTGATCTATGTTTCTCTCTTTCTCCCTCCCTTCCCCGTTCTCTGAAAATACACAAGTAAAATCTTTTTTTTTTTTTTTTAAAGAAGTACCAAATGTGCAAATAGCCTGACTTCTCCCAACGGCTTGCCAGAGGGCTGCAGACTCTGCAGGCACTAACCTGTCATGGAAGACAGCACACGGGCTTGCCTCCTGGTTTGCCATGACATAATGTGGACCACCAGCTCTCCACCTTGTACCTGTGTCTTCATGACTTGATTGCTGAGTCAATGCCTCATTGTTTAGGTTTTTATTATCGCAGAACACCATTTCTGGCCCTTATTACCGCAGAACCAACTTCTGGTATTAACTTTTATATAGTTCGTACATAATATGAGCTGCTATAACAAAGAGACCCTGAAACACAACAGCTGAATCCGGACAGATGTGGTTTTCCTCATGCAATAGTCTAGAGGTGGGTGATTCAGGGCTGCTGAAGCGGCTCTGCTTTAATTAAGTTATGGCTTCCATCTCTCTTCAAAGTAACTCTTTAAGCTCCAGCCATTGCATCTACATGCCAGGCTAAGGAAAAGGTATAAGGCTCAAAGGAGCACACACCCCTTCCTTTTAAGGGCTGTGGATGTGGTGGTGATCACATCCATTCATATTCTATACTTCTGGCAACCAGTGATCTGTACTCCCTCACCGTGGTTTTGTTACTTGGAGAATGTCATATCAATGGAATGATATTGTATCTCACCTTTTGAGACCGGATCCTTTCATTCAGTGTAATTTTTTTGAACTTGTATATAGAGAATACTTCCCATCTAGTTTTATTGAGATATAATGGACATATCGCATTGTATAAGTTTAAGATGTACAATATATTTTGATAATGTTTATATTGTAAAATACCACAATATGTTTAGTTAACATCCATCACCCCACATAGTTACAAAAGTTTTTTTGTAACTTAAAAGTTCTCTTGTGATGAGAGATTCTGCATCTTAGTTGAATCTTAGCAACCTTCCAATACGCAAACAGCATTATTAACTATGGTCCCCATACTGTACATTCCATCCCTAGGATTTAGTTATCTTACAACTGTAAGTTTGTACCTTTTGACCACCTTCACCTCCATCCCCTTGAGCCCCCGCCTCTGGCAAGCACAAATCTGTTTTCTGAGCATAATTATTTTGTGATTCATCCAAGCTGTTGTGTGTTTTAGTAGTTTGTTCTTTGTGGGGGAGGAAGAAACTTTCCTCTACCCCCAAGGTTCTTTCAGCAGGTCTAATAATCCAATAGACATGAGACAGGTTACCAAGAGAAAATGGCCAAATTAATTACATACATACTTGTGGGAACCCTGCCTACGTGAGAGTCAGAGAACCCATATGAGAAGCTCAAAGGCAGACAGGGAAAATGAGGCACATGCAACGTTCTGAGCTAAGGCAGTTAGGGTGTTCTGTGGCTTCAGAGCGGGGGAGGTCATTGCAGGATGATAAAGAGCATGTGTTCAGTCATCAGAACTTTGCCCTATAGATAGGCCAGAAGAGATTATTTCTGATAACCTCTTATTGTGGGCAAGGCCCCTGATTCCAATTCTTCTAAGGCAGTTAAAGGGGAGTGGTTAAAGGGGGAGTTAAAGGGGCAGAAATTTCTCTGGAGCCTGCAGGGTCTTGGCTGCTGTTAGCTCCAAACAATCCTCCTACCGCAGCGGCACCACTTGTGTTGACTTGTTCTGAACCTACACCTTTCGTTGCTGAGGAGGGTTCCATGGTGCGGCCGGACCACAGTTTGTTTAACCATTCACCTATGCGAGGACATCATGTTTTTTCTAGTTTTTGGCTATTACAAATAAGGCCCCTATGAACAACTGCGTGCATGCTTTGTATAACTTAGCCTGTTCAAAATCCTCGCTGGCTCCCCGTCTCACGTAGGGTGAAGTCTGATGTGAGCACAAGAGGCCCTGGGTGGGCCCCAAACACTACACCTTGGTGGGATGGGGAAGCCATATAGTGGAAACACAGTACCCACTCTTGAGGTTCTTCCATCCTGGGGGCCCAGGCAGGACTGCCTGAGTTCACTTTCTGCCTCTTTCACCCATGAGCTTGTGATCTTGGGTGAGTTCCTTAATCTCGCTGTGTTTCAGTTTTCTCATCTCTAAAATAGGATAATGATAATACACCTCCCTTACAGGGATGTTGTGAGGATTAAATGAATTATATGTCAAAAGTGCATGAAACAGCCCTGGCTGGTGTGGGTCAGTGGATTGAGTGCCAACCTGCGAACCAAAGGGTCGCCCCCTCGATTCCCAGTCAGGGCAGGTGCCTGGGGTGCAGGCCAGGTCCCCAGTTAGGGGGCGTGCGAGAAGCTACAGATGGATGTATCTCACAAACAGCGATGTTTCTCTCCCTCTCTTTCTCCCTCCCTTCCCCTCTCTCTTATGAAAAAAAATAAAAAGGCAGGATTTGTCTGGGAAAGAATCAGGGCGTTCAGTGCCAGAATTACTCCCCATACTGACGGGGAGATGATTTGGGGAGGTCATATGCCCGAGGCCTGACGGCTGGAATACGGCGGAAGGAGAGCTGGAAGCAGGAACTACTGGATTTTGGAGCGTTCACTTCCCAGCACTCGGACAGCCAAACCCCAAGAGGTTAAGTGGGGCCAACAGCGGAAGCGGTGTTACCGGCGAGGGGGCTGAGCCTCTGCCTCGGCCGGGTTACGGTAGGCCAGGAGGCCGGACCCGGTGCTAGAGCGAGGGGCAGACCTTGTGTGGGAAGTGGCCCCAGATGCTGAACCCCGGGCAGCCAGCTCGTGACCTTCCACGCCCAGACAACGTGAATACCCCATTCTAGTACAGCACGGAAGGCACGGAAGGCGGAATCGATTCGGAAGACCCAGCACAAGGGCCAGCAACGTACAGCCAAAGGAGGGCCACGGAAGGTGGGCCCGAGAGCGTCTTGGCAAATGGTCGACGCCTATGGGCGTGGCCTCCTGTAAGAAGCGCCTGAGGCTTGCCGTGTGAGCCAATGAAAGGAGAGAAAGGGAGGTACCTGTGTCCGGGGCGTGACTACGGCTCTACGCACGCGCCAAGGCCCGGACAACAGGCCAGTGCTGCGGTAGGGGATGGAGTAAGGGCGTACTCCCGTGTCACGTGATAAGAAGGGCGCCGAATTCCTCTGGAGTCAGTGCCCTTCCTTGTAGATGAAGGTTGAAGTACCTCGGGGGTTGGAGAAACAGCCTGGTGCCTCACCTCCACCCCCGGCTTGGGGTCAGGGTCAGATTAGGGCTCCGGCTTTTGCTCGGGGGCGGGGCCTGGCTGGAGAAGAGGGTCGCGCAGGCCGACCTGGGGGCGTGGTCTCATCGCTCTTAGTGACGTAAGACCGGTGGGCTCTCGATCCATTGAGAAGTAGGTAAGTGGGGAAAAGAACTATTTTGAAGCTCTGGTAGTCGCCTAGTTCTGGGGTGGTGGCGATGTAAGTTTGGGAGCCTAGCATTGTAAGGGGCTTGGTTTGCATCCCGAGAGGCGTAGCTTGATTCTTGGGAGGCAGGGCCTTGAATCCTGAGGGGTGTGGCTTCGGCGCGAGCCTAGCTGTGTGAGGGGCGTGGCCATGCAAAAACTCCGGGGAAGAGACGTAGCTGGGCCTCAGTGTAGGAGAGCAGGCGCGCCTTCTGGGTCATTTGTGTCCAGGTCGTTGGAACTCCCCTTTCTCCTTTAGGTGTCACCTTATGGAGACCTCCACGGCCGCTACCCCTGTGAGGAGCTCGTTCTCCTCCATCCTCCCCCTGGTCTGTGGGACGCTAGTGGCTGCTGTGCTGGGCGCCGCGTACCGACTGGGGCTCTTTACTCGGTTGATGCACAAGGTGCGGGGACACCGATGGGAGGCGAGCTGGGGGGCAGCCAGAGGAGGATTGACCTCCCGGCGCGAGGGACTGTGGGGAGATTCTTTGCAGGGCCCTGCCCTCATTGCCAAGCATGCGGGCCCTGGACTTTGCTTTGTACGAGATAATGGGGAAGCTACAGCTGTCAGGACATTCAACACCCTCCTTCCCTAGAGGGCTGGAGTCCTTTTCACAGAACAGTGCTTCCTGAACACGCTGGGGTCATTGCTGCTGCTACGAAGGCAAGCACCAGAGGATGTGGCCGTGACAGTTGCTCTCTGCTGAGCTCAGTGCTTCAGAGGGATTATCTCATGTACCCAACATCCATGAATAGATGCCCTTGTTTCTGTCTGCATTTCCCTCAAAGAAAACCGAGGCTCAGAGAGGTTGTGTGGTAGCTCATTTCAGATGACCTCTTTGGGGAAGAGCTGACCCCGCAGACCTGGCTCTGAACTACTTGGCTCCTCTCTCCGAAATTGACCGCTTCCCCAGATCCCTTCCCCCGTCTTTCCTCTCATAGCCTGGAGCAACCTTGACCCCTTCCCAGTCCTTCCTCATCTAGGCAGAAGGAGCGCCACTGGCCTTGGGGACTTGGGGAGCTTTAAAGCAAAGGCCTCTGGTGTCCCGGGCCGTGTGGAAGCTGGGGCCGGGAGGCTGCTCCCCCTGCCAGGCACTTGGTGGCTGGCAGCCTGTCAACTGGGCCTGGCTCAGTAAGTGGGAGGGAGCCTGGAAGGCTGCAGTCAGCAGCCTGGCTAGCAAGCCCTTATCCTGGAGGCAGGCAGTTCTGGAGTCAGAGCCGATGACCCCTGCCCTGTGCTCTTGGCCAGCCTTCCCTGCGGGTTGCAGAGCCACACGCAGGCTTCCCTCCGCTCCCTGACTGCCCTGCCATCCCCAGGTGGGCGGTCTAACGGAGCAGGGTGCCTAACGGTGTTGATTTCATGGGACTTTGACTCTTGCTTGGGCAGGTCTTTGTCCCCTTAGCTGTAAGAGGATATACAGTTGACCCTTGACCAACATGGGCCCACTTATGTGCTGATTTTTAAAAAAATACAGTTAATGTCTTGTCCTTAGCGTTTTCTGAATAACATCATTTTTTCCCTAGCTTTATTGTAAGACTGCAGTATATACTACATGTAATCTACAAAATATGTGTTCGTTAACTGTTTATATTATCGATAAGGCTTCCAGTTAACAGGCTATTTGTAGCTAAGTGTTGGAGGAGTCAAAAATTATCTGTGAACGTTTGACTGTGCAGGGGGTTAACACCCCTGACCCCTCCCTGCGTTGTTCAAGGGTCCCCTGTAGTGATGTGAGGACCTGGAAAGGTGGCGTGCTTTCCCCAGCCCTCCGACCCTGCTCCCTCTCTCCTTCCTCGTCCCTCCTTCCTCATCCCTCTTTGCACCTGCCCCAGCGTCCTTGTCTTGGTCCCTGATGGTCTTGTTCTTCCCCTTCATGGGCTCAGGTGGACAAGGAGAGCATCCGGCACGGTGGGGAGAACGTGGCTGCCGTGCTGAGGGCCCACGGTGTGCGGTTCCTTTTCACACTAGTCGGCGGGCATATTTCCCCACTGTTGGTGGCCTGTGAGAAGCTGGGCATCCGCGTGGTGGACACACGCCATGAAGTCACGGCTGTGTTTGCTGCCGATGCTGTGGCCCGCTTGACCGGTGAGGGCTGGGGGCTGATATGGGGGGTCTTGGAGGGGCAGGGATTTTTGGGGATGGCCAGGAGGATGGGCATGGGTGCAGAGCATGATGGAGTCTGTGTTCTAGGGACGGTGGGTGTGGCGGCGGTGACGGCGGGCCCTGGACTCACCAACACAGTGACAGCAGTGAAGAACGCCCAGATAGCCCAGTCCCCAGTCCTGCTCCTGGGTGGGGCCGCCAGTACTCTGCTGCAGGTGCTCTGCCCTCAGGAGGTGGCGGGGGCTTCAGGGAGGCTCAAAGGGCTCACTCACATGGTTACTCCCCTGAACCCCTGTCTCCACCAGAACCGGGGCGCCCTCCAGGCCATTGATCAGATGTCCTTGTTCCGGCCACTCTGCAAGTTCTGTGCTTCTGTGCGCAGGGTGCGGGACATCATGCCCACCCTGAGGACTGCAATGGCTGTTGCCCAGTCGGGCACCCCGGGTAGGTGGTAGAGGGCTGGGGAGTGGTAAGGTTTGAGGGCCTGGGGGCTGGGGAGACATGGCAGGCTCAGTGTCCTCCCTTCCCCTTCAGGCCCAGTGTTTGTGGAGCTGCCCATCGATGTGCTGTATCCCTACTACATGGTCCAGAAGGAGATGGTGCCAGCCAAGCCGCCCAAGAGCCTTATGGGCCGACTGGTCTTTTGGTGCGTAGCTCCGCTCCCACCATGCTCTTCCCCTTTCTCCTGCAACCTCCTGCTAGCATTTATTCCTCCTTTGACCCATTCATTGATTTGCACATCAGTTGAGAGAAACCAATCCTGGGAAGAGCCTTCCAGGTGGAGGGTATAGCACATGCACATGTCCTGAGACACACACTAACGTGGTTTGGGAAGGCAGGGTGGCTTGTGTGGCAGCAGCTGGTGAGCAAAGGGGAGAGGGGCAGGCACTGAGTTTAGAGCAGCCAACATGGCCCACTAGGGGTGCTCGCAGTTTTGTTTTTAATCTGAGATCCTTTGAGAAGCATTGCAGGGCCTTCATCAGAGGGGAGCGATAGCCTGATTCAGGTTTTTATTTGTTCCCTCTGGCTGCTGTTGGAGAATGGACTGTGGTCGGGCGGACGCTGGGAAGCCGGGAGGAGGCGTGGTGGTCCTGGGATGAGAGGCGATGGCGGCCTGGACCTGGGTAGTGGCTGTGGGAGGCAGAGATAGGGATGGATCACATGTGAGTTCCTGGTGAAAGGGACAGTGGGTCCCTGTAGGCCCATGACATGGGCACAGCTCACTCTGGGGCTTTGAGTGGAAGTGGCCGGGATCTTAGAGAGATCAGGGTAGCGGGGCTGGCCTGGGACAAGCCTGAAGGTTTTCTCAGAGGAGCTAAGGAGTTTGAGGGGCACCTCCTTCAGTTGAGCGGAGAGAGAGGGGTCACAGAAGGGGCACAGCTTGAGAGGAGCTGTGTGATAGGGTCCATTTTTGGTCACCACTGAGGTGGGCCTGGCTGGAACAGGCAGAGGGAGAATCGATACTCCACCTTCTACCCCCTCATTTTGATAGGGCAAATGCTCAAGCATAAAAAAATTACCTGTTATTACTTCAGATAACAACGGGGCTTAGTCGAGTGTCATGTCAGCTGTAAGGCAAGGTGTCTCCTATCCTTCCTTCAACATGGTGAGGGAACCAGAAATAGAGAAGGGGGGTCCGGGGTCCTGACACATAGGAAGTGGCTGTTTACCACGCCTGGGAGGTAGAGTCTTTAAGTGGGCCTGTTCCATGGCTGTGACAGCCTCTTGGCTCCCTGGCCTCCAGTTCCCTCCCCGATCCTGGCCTCTCAGGCTTCCCTCCTCAGCCTCCTGCAAGGCTGGCTCTTCTCTTGCCTTTTCTTTCTTTTAGATCAATTTTTTTTCATCTTTCAGTTACAGTTGACATACATTATTATATTAGTTTTAGGTGTGCACCCCAGTGATTAGATGTTACGTAACGTACTGTGATCATCCTGATGAATCTTAGCCCCATCTGGCACCACGCGTAGTTATTAGGGTGATATTACATATATTCCCTGTGCTATTCTTTATGTCTGCTGGCTATTCCGTAACAACCAATTTGTCCTCCTTTTTTTGTTTTAATTTTTAAAGATTATATTTATTTATTTATTTTTAGAGAGGGGAAGGGAGGGAGAAAGAGAGGGAGAGAAACATCAATGTGTGGTTGCCTCTCGTGCGTCCCCTACCAGGGACCTGGCCCGCAACCCAGGCATGTGCCCTACACTGGGAATTGAACCTACAACCCTTTGGTTTGCAGGTTCGCACTCAGTCCACTGAGCCACGCCAGCCAGGGCCCAGTTTGTACTTCGTAATCCCTTCACCTTTGTCACTTAACCTCCAACCCCTCTCCCATCTGGCACTTGTCAAAATGTTCTCAGTATCTGTGAGTCTGTTTCTGTTCTGCTTGTTTATTTTCTTTTTTAGATTCAATTGTTGATAATATCTATTGTCATTTTATTGTTCATATTTTTTATCTTTTTTTCCTTCTTCTTAAAGAAGACCCTTTAACATTTCATATAATACTGGTTTGGTGGTGATGAACTCCTTTAGCTTTTTTGTGTTCAGGAAGTTCTTTTCTCTGTCTTCTGATTCTAAATGATAGCTTTGATGGGTAGTGTAATCTTAGTTGAAGGTCCTCGTTTTTTATCACTTTGAGTATTTTCTGCCAATCCCGTCTGGCATACAAGGGTTCTGTTGAGAAATCAGTTGACAGTCTTATGGGAACTGCTTTGGAGGTAACCAGCTGCTTTTCTTCCGCTGCTTTTAAGATTCTTTCTCTGTCTTTAACCTTTTGCATTTTAATTATGGTGTATCTTGGTGTGGGTCTCTTTGGGTTCATCTTGTTTGGGACTCTCTGTGCTTCCTGGACTTACCTGCCTATTTCCTTCACTAAGTTAGGGAATTTTTCTGTCATGATTTTTTCAAATAGATTTTCAATGTCTTGTTCTCTCTCTTCTCCTTTTGGCACCCTTATGATTTGGATGTTGATATGTTTGGAGATGTCCCAGAGGTCCCAGGTAGGAGGTGCAGGCCAAGGTCAGCTGCCACCTGTGTTCTGCTGGGGCCACCTGGCATGAGCTACAAAGTGATCTGCAGATGGCTGCTACTTGTGGGGGGCTTAGAGGTGATCACATAAGGCCAAGCTGTGAACCAAGGCCGGCTGCCCCTAGTGCTGGGCCGAGGGCCACTCAGTGCGAAGTACGGGGCTCGCTGAGGCCAGATGCTGCTTGTCTGAGGGATTTTAGGACAATCTGAGGCATTAGCCAAGACAGGCCATTTGTATGGAAAAGCCCCTGGAAACAGCTTGGGAGGGCCTGAAAGTTGGGTGAGGCCGGGCCTCAGGGAGTCACCAGGGCAGGGCAAACAATGTGAGCCAGGGTGATGAAGTCTCAGATACGGCACCAGCCTGCCGGCTCTGTTCGGGGAGGGCTCATCAAAGGAACAATGGCCTCTGCCAGCGCTTCTGTCTGGGAGAGGGCTGCCTCTCCAGCTCTACCCCTGATGCCAGGCAATTTAATGGTTCCCCTTATGTCTCTGGTGTCTATTAAGTTGCTGCCCCAGTGCTGGAGCTCAGAGGAAATGAATTCGAGTAAGTTGTGTGTGGGCCCTTTAAGAGGAACTTCCTGGCCTCCAGAATCCCTCAGCTCCCTCAGCCACAATCCCTGCTGGTTTTTACAGCTAGAAGTTATGGAGACTTCTCTTCCTAGCCCTGGAACCCTGGGCTGGGACCCCTTGTTCCTCAGAGGGACTTCTGTAGCTGTACTATCCCTCCCAGTTTTTATCTGCCACAAGTGGGTGTGGGACCAGCCCGTTTTGCATCTCCACTGGTTCTACGAGTTTCAGTGTGGCTTCTTTAATTCCCTAGCTGTAGAACTTCCATTCTGCCAGATTTCAGACACTGCTTAATGATAGTTGTTCTGTAGTTTAGTTGTAATTTTTTTAAAAAGATTTTATTTATTTATTTCTAGAGAGAGGGGGAGGGAGGGAGACAGAGAGGGAGAGAAAGATCAATGTGTGGTTGCCTTGCACGTCCCCAGTTGGGGCCTGGCCTGCAACCCAGGCATGTGCCCTGATTGGGAATTGAACCAGCAACCCTCTGGTTCTCAGGTCGGTACTCAGTCCACTGAGCCACACCAGCCAGGGCTAGTTGTAATTTTGATGTGGTCATGCAAGAAGGCTAGTAACCAGGTTGACCTCTGCCACCATCTTGACCAGAAGTGCTTTGCTGTTTCTTTCCATGTTGAGGTCCCTGTGGTTCCTTTCTCGGCCTCTTCGCATTCTCTGCAGTCTCGACTCTTCCAAAGAGAAGCAGAAGCTTCTGGTCCTGATTGCTCCCTGCCGACACCTACATGCCTGTTTGTGGCTGGATTGGACGTTTTTGAGGGCAGGGCCGAGCAGGATTCATCTGTGTGTGTCCAGAGCCCTGCACAGGGCTTCATGGACAGTCGGGGCCCTGTGACCCATGAGTAAGGAGACAGAAAAGGGCACGTCGGAAGCCAGAGAAAGAGGAAGTAGCTCCCACTCATGCTTTTGCAAAGTGCTTAATATCCTGAATGAATAGATCACTGAACCTTGGGAGGGGGGTTCCCTTTTACATTTTATGGAGCAAGATGCTCAGAAAGGTTGCCACTTGCCCAAAGTCACACAGTTAGGAACCAGCAGAGCCATCTCCGCCTGACCCTGCAGCTAGGGCCCCGATCCTGGCACTCATGCCTGTCACTCTTTTCTGAGGGTCTAGTGTCAGGTTTGGGCTGTCATCAGAAGCTTCCAAGGGGAAACAGGCTACTAGAGACTTGGCCACTGGGGTTTGTCTGTCCCTCGGCCATTGCTCAACGACCCCGTACTTGTCCTACTTCCTTCCTGGCCCCTTTCCTCCTTCAGCTGCTGGAAACCCAGCAGTGAATTCTGGTAACCACCCCTTCCTCTCCTCTCTGCAGGTACTTAGAGAATTACCTGGCCAATCTCTTTGCAGGAGCCTGGGAGCCTCAACCTGAGGGGCCCCTGCCTTTGGACATCCCCCAGGCATCTCCCCAGCAGGTAAATCGCCTCTCTTCCCTGGTCAAGGACCCCCACCCGGCAGGACCGCCTGTCCTTTAGTCAGTATCGGGGCACCGACCCCGGGGACTGATAGTGTCCCAGGCTCAGCTCTTTGAGCTCCGCCTCTCGCCCCAGGTCCAGCGCTGTGTGGAGATCTTGAGCCGCGCCAAAAGGCCCCTTGTGCTCCTGGGGAGCCAGGCCCTGCTGCCCCCGACATCCGCCGACAAGCTTCGGTGAGGAGCCGTAGCTCTGCCTTTCCTATCGCCTTCTTGGTCCCTGGTCCCGTGGTGGGCAGGCCCTTGGCCACTCTCACTTCTGTTTACCTGGACCCGCAGGACTGCCATGGAGACCCTGGGTGTCCCCTGCTTCCTGGGCGGCATGGCACGGGGGCTGCTGGGCCGAAACCACCCTCTCCACATTCGGCAGAACCGCAGTGCCGCCCTGAAGAAGGCGGACGTAGTCCTTCTGGCAGGTGGGCCTCAGCCTCCTCCCCACCCTCCCGTTTCCCTCTCTCCAGGGCCCTCCTTACCCTGTGTCCCTGCCCCTGTTAGTTTGGTACTCACTGGCCTCACCCGTTTCCCTTTCAAGGGTTTTGAACAACTCTGAATTTGAAATTCAGGTAAACTCTTGCCACGTTGCACTTGTGTGGTATGACCCAGCTTTGCACAAAGGAAGACACTCAGATAGTGGCCCCCTGTGGAACCTTCTGCACAGCATTTACATCTGTATGTGTTACACAGAATTTATACTTTATACAGCACATACACGTACAGCATACTCATTTTCACATAAAGTGCTTTGAAGCCTTTCAGACACATAATACTTGTATCAGTTAGCTATTGCTGTGTAATAACCATTCCCACACTCAGTGCGTTAAAAAGCAGTTATTATTTTTCAAGACCTACCTACAGGTAGGGCGGTAGTGTTTCTGGTTTTGGCAGGGCTCTTTCAGGAGTCTGCAGTCAGTGAGGCGGGGGGCAGCAGGGCAGCTGTGCTGACCCAGGCCGGGCTAGCTCAGATACTTGGGGGTCAGCTGGGGCTGTAGCGGGGCTGGCATGGCCTCAGCCAGGATTCTGAGTTCTCATTCTTCCCTACCTCCTCCTCCTCCGTATTCCTCATCACCCCGCAGGCTGGCCTGGGCTGGGTCAGTTGGTGGAGGATGAGAAACATGTAGGGTTGGGGGAGCAAGGTTATTGAAGAGAGAGGGAGTGGAAGCCGAAAGGTTTATTAAAGCCTGGTCTCAGGAAAGCATGCCAGCCTTCCTGACACATTCTACTGGCCAAAGCACATCCCGAGGCCAGCCCACGTTCAAGGGCTGGGGAGTTACAAAGTGATTGCAGGTGGCATGGGTCCAAGGAGAGGTGAAGAACGGATGCCCTTTTGTATTAATTCTGCTGTGGTGGATTAAGTTAGGTAGTGGATACCCTCCAGGACCCTGGCCCTCCATCCACTGTTCCCCTGTCCCTCGCCCCAGGAATCGTGTGTGACTTCCGCCTATCTTATGGCCGAGTCCTCAGCCAAAGCAGCAAGATCATCATTGTCAACCGTAACCGGAAAGAGATGTTGATCAACTCAGACATGTTCTGGAAACCCCAGGAGGCCGTGCACGGTGAGCCTCCACTGCCCCACGCGGGTGCCCCTTCTGAACCCTGCTCTCCTGGCTCCTGCTGGGCTCTGGGTTCTGGACTCTACCCTAGGGGGCACCTGGTCAGCCAGAGATGCATATTGGGCCCTCAGACCGATGGGTGCTTCCGGACGAACAAATGGTGGGTGTGCACTAGAGGGAAGGCCTGAGAATGTGCATGTGATCATGTCCCCTGGCTGCAAACCGTCTCAGGCTGCCTGCTGCTGTTAGGACAGAGAGCTCACCCCGTGGCCCCTGAGGCCTCTGTTACCTACCCCTGTCCAGTCGTCTCCCATGCTTTGGGAGCCCTGCTTTGACCATCCTTCCAAGGATGTTGACTTTCTTGTAGTGTAGGTGACAGGAACTCTGTCAAGCAGAGAACTGGCCCTGTTTCATTTGTGCTTTTCTACTGCAGGAGCTGGTGGGCAGCAAGTTGGAGGGGGCCAGGCAGTGTCAAGGGGTCTGTTAAAGCGGGCTGGGTTATTTAAGAAATGACAAGGCCTGGATTGGGGATGGACAGGGAGGAGAAGCTCAGCTTCTCTGAGCCTCCAGAATATTATGTCTGAATGGGGAAGATGAAAAGTGCATCAGCAGCAGCTTGTATATTTGTTCACAAGTACTCTGCATGCCTGGGTTGCAGAGAGACGTGCTTGGCAGGTGGAGGTGGTTTTAGTGATATGTTTCAGAGGAGGGGGTGCTAGGACTGCATGATCTGGGGGGTGATGGGGAGGCAGGCGATGACGTTGGCTTGGGTTCCTAATCTGCTTTGTGCTCCCCACATCTTTTTTCTCTGGCTTTGCCCTCCCCCTCATCCCGGCTGCCTTAACCTGGTTCCAGCAGGCTCTGGTGTGCGTTTTGCCTATTTTGCCCAAGGAGCGCGCCATCCTGCCTCCATGCCTCCTGGTCCAGGGCTGCTGTTGGCTTCCTACTGTCTGTGGGCCTCTGGTGCGGGAAGGGCAGGAGGAGGCCACCTCTCTGCAGCTGTGTCCTCTTCTCTCTCCAGGAGATGTGGGTTCCTTCATGCTGAAGCTGGTGGAGGGCCTTCAGGGCCAGACCTGGGCCTCAGACTGGGCAGAGGAGCTTCGGCAAGCCAACCAGCAGAAGGAGCAGTCCTTTCGGTGCGGCCCGGTGGAGTGGCCACGGAGGGTGGTGGGTTTCCCAGCAGGGTCTGTGGCTGGCCCTGCTGATCCACGTTGTTCCGTTGCAGGGAGAAGGCGATGATGCCTGTAGCCCAGCACCTGAACCCAGTGCGGGTGCTGCAGCTGGTGGAGGAAACTCTGCCTGACAACTCGATTCTCGTGGTGGACGGCGGGGACTTCGTGGGCACTGCCGCTCATCTGGTGCAGCCCCGTGGTCCCCTGCGCTGGCTCGATCCTGGTAAGGAAGGGCCTACCCCTGGGAGAGCTTGCACCGTTCAGGCCCTTTCATGCCCACCTTCTCTTGGTTCTCCTAGGGGCCTTTGGGACTCTGGGGGTTGGTGCAGGATTTGCGCTTGGGGCCAAACTCTGCCGTCCAGATGCTGAGGTGAGTCAGGGCACCAGAGGCAGGAGGCTTGCAGCCTTCTGGGCCGGGAGCTACCCCGACCATTTCCTGTCCCACCTCAGGTCTGGTGCCTGTTTGGGGATGGAGCTTTTGGGTACAGTCTCATCGAATTCGACACCTTTGTCAGACACAAGGTAACCGGGCTGCCCCAGGGATGCCTGGGGTTCTGGGAGAGGTCATCAGGGCTGGGCTGGGGAGGGAGTTGCTTGTCTGGTGGAGGACCTATCTCTGTGTCCACTGGGGGCTGAGTGGTGTGGCCTGGCCTCGCCTTCTCCCTGCAGGTTCCAGTGATAGCCTTGATAGGGAATGATGCTGGCTGGACCCAGATCTCTCGGGAGCAGGTGCCCTGTTTGGGCAGCAATGTGGCCTGTAGCCTGGCCTACACTGGTAAGGGGCCTGGCATGGGGGAGGCTATTTCCGGCCCTGCTGGGTGTTCCTCCCTTGGGCTGGTTGCATTGTGGCCTGGGTTCCTGCCACCATCTGACTTGACCTCTCCTTTTAGATTATCACAAAGCAGCCATGGGTCTGGGGGCCCGGGGCTTGCTGCTCTCACGGGAAAATGAGGATCAGGTGGTTAAGGTGCTTCGTGATGCCGAGCAGCAGTGCCGAGATGGCCACCCGGTCGTGGTCAACATCCTCATTGGGAGGACGGACTTCCGCGACGGCTCCATTGCTGTGTAGGGCCTCGTGGGTGCCACCCCACCCCTGGACTGCCAAGCTGGTCTGCAGTCTCATCCTTGCCTCTCTGGGTCTGAGGATTGGGAGGGGCTGGAGAGGCCAGGCCCACAGGCTCCCTGGAAGTGCTGGAGAGCTCTGGGCTTTTCTTTGTGGGCCCCGTTGCGACCTTTCTCTCATTTCTTACACACTGAATAAACCATCTGGTCGACATGGGCCCAAGTACTCATCCCAAAACCTGTGCATATTGGTTTATTGTTCACAAAGATGTAAGTGAGAGGGTGAGGGGGGAGACAGGAGGGCACCCTACTCTCCCACTGGAACTCTGGGACCCACTGAAGCACCAGTGCTGGAGACTTCAGGGTGCTCAGCATTGTGACCCGCCCCGCCCCTTGCCATGGTCCCTGAAAGAGCCCCACACGCCCGCTGCAGAGATGTCCATGCACACTCATCCTCACACACAGACACACACGCATGGAGGCAATAAATATGTTCCGTACCAAAGTGCCCCCAGCCTGACACTTCAGGTGGGGCCCCTCCAAAAGGGAGGTCTTGTAAGTGCTCATTTTCTTTAGGGATTGAGGAAGAACTGGGGAAGGAAAAGGCCAGCTGGTTTGAGGCAATTGTGGGGTTTTCCCTGGGAAAGAGTGGGGAAACCGCCGTTTTTCTATAAGCCCCAGGCTGTCCCTATCCAGCTGGAGTCCCTATAGAGGCTGTTCTTGACCTCACCCCAAACAGCGCCTCATAGTCTTTGGGCCCTCCAAGGGAGGGAGAAGCAAAGAGTGCAGTGCTCAAAGCTAATACTGATTTGGTTGGCAGCAGCAAAAGAATTGACTGGGGGTGGGGGTGTCTCACCATCCCAGGGTGATGCTCACATTAACTGGTGATTCCCCAGCAAAGGGGAGGCAAGAAAGGCCAGCCCAGCAAGCGGGAGAAGCCCTTGGTACTTAGAAAAGATGGTCACAACAGCTGGTCCCCAAAATCTCAAGTCCCTGGCCTTTGCAACCAGTACCCAAATAATTTAGCATTGGAAATGAGAAATGAGTCGCAGCATCTGGCTGGCTGGTCTCACTCGGCAACTCCCCAGCAATCAGGAGCTACAACCCGACACACTGGTCTGGTCCGTCTTGTCAGAAGCCCCGCCCTTAGCTACAGGGGTCCTGCCCCGCCCGGCTCAGAGGCACACGTTTATCTGCTTGGAAAGTTCTCTCTCCAGGTCTAGGATGAGCGCATCAAAGTCTTTCAGGTTCAGGTGGGCGTTGAAGGGCGCGTCAAAGTCATCCTCGAAGTCGGCGGCACCCGTCGGCTCTCCGGCCTCCTCATCTTCTTCGTCTTCGCTGTCGCTGCCCGTCACGTGGTCGTAGTCCGGCCCGGACAAAAAGTCCCGTCCACAGGGCAAAAAGTCCCTCCCGCAAACGCTCCAGTCTCCTGCGTAGCGGTTACTCGGGGGGCTCTCAGGACCGCCCCGGCCGCGGGGGCGAGGCACTACTTCGGGAGCCGCCAGCGGCAAGTGCAGCGGCGGCTGTCGTTTCGGCCGGAGGTACGGGGCGAAGCCCGGAGCCTCTGGGGACCTGCGAGGATCTGTGGAGGGAGAGGGCGGGCTTGTGATGACGTTACGCACAGCGACGACAGCCAGGCCTGTGATTGGCTGTTTAGATAACCAGGCCCCTGACCGGTTTGTGGAAAGGCAAGGCCTCCGACCGATCACGATTTCATTGGCTGAGCTGGTTGCTTAGGCAACCTGATTGGCATCTAAGAAGCCGCACCAAGTGTGGATTGGTACCTGTTGCTAGCTCTGGGAGGGTGAGGGGAGGCACCCAAGATTCGGGCCTCCGATTCTGTTTACTCTGATGAAGGGGGCGCGGCTTGCTTGAAACCCGAGACTGATTGGCTGCCAGAGAACGCATTGCCTCGGCGGCCTGGTCCGGATTGGCGGTTCGGGCCGGGGTCGGACTCACCTGGCCAGGCCTGCAGCAGGTAGTGCAGAACTTCGATGTGACGCTTGAAGTCCACGGTGTTGGCAAGGCCCGGGCCAGAGTTGCGGATGCGGGGCCTGCCGGGGTCCTGGCGCGCCGGCAGCAGCACGGGCCCGAAACACACGGCCAGGTTCTGCGCGGTCATGCGGTTGTGGGCGTGGAAGGAGGAGACCAGGCGCAGGTGGTCCAGGAGAAGCGTCAGTGTGGCCTGAGAAGAGGGTTGAGAGGGCATGAGGGAGACTAAGGCGACTCAGAATGGGGGAACTGAGGTTCAAGGTCTCATAGCTGTGACAGGACCAAGCTGTCTTAACCATTAGGTATTAGTATTATGATCCCATTTTGCTGGAGCGGAGACCAATGGTAACAGCTTTGGAAAGGCAAAGCTTGGACTTGAACCCACTCCTCTGTATTCTGGGCAGGGTTGATATTAATCCCATTTTATAGATGAGGGTACTGAGGCACAGAGAGGGTCCGGTCTTGTCCAGGATCCCGTAGCCTGGAATCTTCCTTATGGGAGGCTGACAGACCTGTGTTCACAGTCTGTGTTTTGGTTTGTTCTTATCTTCACCCAAGGACATGCTTATTGATTTTATAGGAAAGGGAAGGGAGGGAGAGAAACATCCATCAGGTGCCTCCTGTAGGGGCCCCTACTGGGGACTGAACCACAACGTAGGCACGTGCCCTGACAGGGAATTGCGCCTGCAGCCTTTCCGTTTACAGCACGATGCTCCAACCAACTGTGCCACCACCGCACCACCCAGGGTTACAGTGTGTTTTTGATATAATCTGGCTGTGCAACCTTGGGTAACTCACCCAACTGCTTTGGGCCTTGGTTTCCACATTCATTAAGTGGGGATACTAATCACATCTACTTTCTGATGCCACACACTCATGGCCATCACTGGGCCAGGCATGGATGAAATGTTCTACCAATGTCAGCCCACGCCCTGTCCCACCCACTCTTGCACATGCCCAACTCACCCTCTCTACCTCTGGCAGGCAACTGAGGAGCCCACGGGTGCCCTCTGCGCTGGGGGGAGCCCTGCTCGGGGGCCCTCTGGCCATTGCCTCCAGCACCACTTGATAGAGGGGCTGGGTGATGAGTGGGGTGGGCAACTCCCGAAGATAATCCTTGAGGATGCCTGCGGACACAGGGACCACTTGTCAGGGCAACCCTGGCTTCTGAGGCTAGAGGGGTCAGCTGGGCTGGGAGGCGGGAAGAGGGGGACAGGTGCAGGAAGGTGAACACAAGGCCAGACTGTAGAGGTGAGGTCCCAGAGGGGCAACAGGGACTGCCACGAGGTGAGGGTTGAATGAGGAGCAGGTAGGGATGCGGTGGGAGGGGAAGAGGCATGCTGACCAGTGATGACATTGATATCGGGGTACAGGTCCTCGGAGAGGCAGACAGCTGCGCTGTCCCGCTCAAAGGCATCCCGAAGCTCTTTCTTCACAGCTGCTGAGCCGCACAGACGGTACAGCCCCACTACCTATGGGTGGGAGCAGAGAGGCAATGGCTTCTTGCTGGAGCCACAGACTGATCAGGGCCCAGTGGGGTGGGGGCTGGAGTTCTGGCTCAGGGTGGCCGATGGCTGAGAGGCTGGAGGCTAGCTGTAGCCTCAATGGCTGCCTTCCTGCCCCTCTGACACCTGTCATAGGGTCCCCATCTGGCCATCTGGAAAACCTGGATCTGTAAATCCTCTGCTTGGATCACTTGTCTGGATACCCACATCCTTTGACTTGGGAACCTTTGACTCCTCAGCTCACTTGTCACCTGACTGCCCCAACCAGCAGATGAAGTCCTGCTTTAAGCTCCCCAGCTGCTTCACTTGTCCCAGCCAGTTTTACACTTGTGAATTATTATTGGGTTCATGTTTTTCTGCCATGACACTGAGCTCCAGAAGGGCTAGGATCCTGTGTCGCTAAATGGGTGGGTGACCCACAGGTTTTGGGTTAGGTGCTATGGTCTAGGGGGGCTTCCTGACCTTGTCTAGGCTGGGACTGGAGCTTGGAGTATCCCAGGCGGGGTCGGGATGGGGGAAAGGCCTGGCCTCTGTATAGTGGGTGTCCTGGGGAGTGGGTCTGAGCTCAGGGCGAACTAGGGTGTGGGGCGAGAGGCTTACCCGCAGCCCTCGGCGCTCGATCTGCCCAACACACTTCTGAATGATGAGGGGCACCTGGCCTGGGGGCTGCTCCCGCTCCACCAGCAGACGCAGGGGCAGCCCAAAGACACGGGGCTCAGCTGTGCTGGGTGCTTCCTGCTGCTCGGACAGGGTCAGCTTGGCATAGAGCAGCCCCTGGGGCTCCAGGCGCACGGCCAGCTGCTGGGCCTGGCACCCTGAAGACACAAAGGGACTTGAGTGGGATCTGCCCCCCACTGGCTCCTCTGCCCTGACCTCCTATTCCAAGCTGCACCCCCACCCCAGGCTTGGTGCCCTGGGCACTCTGGGTGAGGGCTGAATCCTGCACCCTGTTGCTTCTCCCCAACAGCCATGCACCCTACCTCGGAAAACCGTGGGAAGCAGCACGGTGCCTTGGGCACAGGGCCGGTGCCTCCGGACACAAGGGTCCCACACCAGTACAATGGCTCGCAGCAGTCGGGCAGCCTCGAGTTCCAGGTGGAAGGTGTGATCCAGCCGCAGGAAGTCTGGCCCTCCGCGCAGCGGCCCAGTGCGGGCCCTGGCCACCCCATCCACCTGCAGCAGGCAGCAGAGATCTCTAGGGGTGGCCCCAGGTGCCGGCCGCAGACCCCCCAGCCCATACAGGTGCAGGCTGAGGCGGCCCCAGAGTGCGGCAGGCGGCGCCCGGGCTGATGGGCCCACCTCGTAGGGCTGGAAGGCGGTGGGCGACAGGGGCCCGGCTGGGCGCTCCGGCGAGTCGCCATCGCTGAGATACCCAGCGCGCAGGCCCCGAGCGCCCCCGGCCACTGCCGCCCGCCCGGGGGTCCCTACGCTGCTGTCCAGGTGGTAGCGGCTGATGACGGAGCCAGCAGGGGCGGCCCTTTCACGCTCTCGGCCGGCCCGCGTGCCGCGCAGGCTCAGGCGGCGCCGTAGCTCTGGCAGCTTCTTCATTTTCATGGAGAGGCGTCTGGCAGGGCCGGGGGACTTGGTTCGAGAGGCTTTGGTTGGGGAGCTGGCAGGGGCCACACCTGCGGGAACAGCAAACCTCAGGGTTCAGCAACCTGGGCTTGGAATGGGGCTGAGGCTTGTGGTCATTTTGGGGAGCCAGGGTGGGGGTTTGGGATTGGACGGTGTGCGAGGCTTGTGCTCACCTTGTAGGGCCAGGCCCTCCGGCTCAGCCAAGCCTGGCTGTGGCCCTGGGGACTCAGGTGCCAGGGGTCTGGCGTCCTCCTCAGGGATGGGGTTGTACCAGATCTCTCCTGCAGGCTCCCCGCCGCCTGGTGCCCCAGACCCCAAAGCGGCCTCCTCCGGGGGCTTGGTCCCGCCCAGCACCCATCTTCGACTGCTGGGCTCCAGGCTCTGGAGGTAGGCTCCCCGAGAGGGACTACGAGACGCCTCAGGGCTGGGGGGCCCCTCTGCTCCAGCCTGGGGCCCTTCGAGGGCCTGGGGCTCTGGCTCTGGAGGGCTGGGCTCCGGGCGCTGGACTGGGTGGCCTGATAGAGAGCAAGGCAGTAAGACCCAGTCCCCTTGTCCTGAAAAAGGGAAGCCCCAGCCCAGGCTCCTCCCCTGGCAGGGGCTGGGATGTTTGCAATGCGATTGGTGGCCAGTTAGAGTCCACTTCATCTCAGGCCCCGAGGTCCCTAACGCTCCTCTGCCTCCAGCCTCAGGGGTCCTGTGGTGGGGTCCTGTGTTCTCGGCTCTGATTCTCCACCCCTCTCATTAACCCTGACCCTGTCCCTTCTTGCTGGGTAGCTTGGGGCAAGTCACTTCCCATCTCTGAGCCTCAGCGTTTTGTCCCGTGACCCAGGGGGATTCGATGCTCTCTCCAGGGGGGCTTCGGGGAGCCAGGCATCGGGAGCACTTCCCAGGCCCTCACGTCGGGATCGGCCGGCAGCGCACAGCGGACACTGGCTTGCTCGCTCAGAAGACAGGAGCAGGCCCGGCAGCGAGCACAAGGCTTTCCCTTCCTGCAGCTTGTCCTTCCCCTGCCCCGCCCCCCCGCCTGTCTTCCACATTCTACCCCTCCTCGGGGTGGGCCATCTCTCAGCCCGACCAGAACCCCGCGGTCAGTGCCTTGGCACCTCCCCTCTCTGACACCCCAGGCTGTTTCCTGTGTGTGTTTGCGTGGGCACCCAGTCCCATCTCTCTAGTCCGGGAATCTTTGGGAAGGGCTTGGGGGGAGGTCAGGTCCAGGAGTCATCTGGCCTCCCTCCTTTAACTCCTTCCTTATCCGGACTTCCTGCCCTAAGCAGCTCATTTCTTTAAGGTCTCATCTTGCTTGCCTGCAGACTCCCTCCTACCTCCCCTCTGATTTCCACCTCCCGAGACTCTCTCCCGGGTCTCTAAGAGGAGGATAGTCCAAAGAGCTGTTTAAGTCACTTCACTGACCCTGGGCCAATTACCCAACTGCTCGGTGCCTCAGTTTCCTGGGGCTGTTTAAAGTGGATGCAACTGCAGCCATTGGATAATAGGTGGGAGGGGAAAGAGGGGCGCCTACAGTGATTGATGCGCCAGGTCTCTGCCTCCCGCAGAAGCGCGCCCCCCCCTATTCTGGGTCTCTAGGGCTCAGGGTGCCCCCTGCCGTGACTGGGCTCCCTTGTCCCAGCCTCCCAGCCCCTCCTCCCTCCACTCTCCGGGCGCTCCGTTTGGCCCCATTTCCTGTCAGGGGCGAGGCCCCCTCCGGGGCCTCCCAAGGAGTCCGCAGCGCTGGCATCCCGGGCTACGCGCAAGTAACGGTCCGTGCCCCTCGATCCACAGCCCCTTCCTTCCAGGACCCTTTCCAGCCCCGGACCCGCGACTCCAGCCCGCAGGGGGCTCCAAGGAGCTCCCCCTGCCCCCCGGCAGACTTTCCTTGGGCTCCGGGACCCTCTCCAGTCCAAGCAGGGCTTGGCGCCCTCTCCTTCGCCCCCCCCCCCCCCCGGCGTCCCGCTCACCGCGCTCCTTCGCGTCCGACTTTTTTCGGGGAAGTTTCTCCCGACCCCGCAGGCGGGAGAAGGTTTTCCTGAGCAGTGGTTCGGCCATGCTGGGGCCCCGGCCGGGCCGAGTGCGCCCTGGGTCCGGCTGCGCCGCCCCCCGCCCGGCTGCCCCGCCCGGCCGCCCCGCCCCGGCAGCCCCGCGCCCAACGCCAGCAGGAAGCGCATTCCGGGAATGCTTGGCCCAAACTTTTTTTTTCCCCTTCCCGCGGCCTGAGCGAGCGATGCTGGGAGTTGTAGTCGCTCGGGCGGGAGGGGAGGGAAGGGGGGCTCTGGGCTGCCTCCCTGGGCTCCACCTCCAATATGGATATATCGTGGCGCAGCCCGGGACCCTCGTCCTCCCTCCTTCCCCCTCTCCCTTGATGATCACTATTTCTCTTGGCTTTACCTCCAAAACACATTCTGCACGTATCCCTTCTCCCCCACCCCATTAGCTGCTCTAACCCGTTGTAAGCCTTGGCATCACTCCTTCCAAAGGCGCCCCTCTTCCTTCCTCCCCTGGACGCCACCCCGGTGCCCCCCTCCTCCCCAGTTCCGGTTACTGCTGCCATTTAACGAATCACCCCCAAGCGCAATGGCTTCAAATGGCCGTTGTATGAAGCTCACAGATGCCTTGGGTCGGGAGTTAGGGCCGGGCAGAGCCGACACTGATTGTCTCTGCCCCCCAGTTGGAAGACCTCGAGGTTTAGAGGTGACACAACAGCTAGGGGTCCAGGTCATCTGAGGCACGCTCACTCACAGGCCCTGCAGCTGGGGCTGGGGCCCCGCAGGAGCGCGGCTCGCGGCACCTGCACAGGCCTCTCTGCCCGAGAGGCAGGCTGGCTTCTCACGCAGCGACCCACAGCTCGGAACGTGAACAAGGCACAGGCTGCATGACCCCTCCTGACCCACCCACTCTCGAGTATTACACTGCATCACTTCAGGCACCAGATTCAATGGCCTGGACGTGGACCCCATCTCTCTCAGTGGGCTAGGTGTCAAGATGACCTTGTGCAAGAGGATGTGGGATGAAGGATATTATGGCGGTGGTCTTGAAAATTTTAAGCCTCCTCACCTCTACATTCTATTCTCCACGCAGCTGCTAGAGCGGACTTAAAAAGCTGAAATCAGGTCTTGGCACACCCCTGCTGAACAGTCTTCTTGTGACTGCTCATACCACCTAGAATAAAATCCAGATTCCCACAAATAAAATCTAGTCTCAACAAAACTTCTGGCTTCATCCCCTTTGGTGTTCTTGCTGCTCATCTCAGCCTCACCTCTGGGACTCCTTCACATCAGACTGTTCCTGCCCCAGGCCCTTTGCACATGCAGTTCCTGCTGCCTCAGAGACCTTGGTTTGTCTACGGCCATACCACCCTGAACGCGCCCAATCTCACCTGATCTCGGAAGCTAGGCAGGGTTGGGCCTGGTTAGTACTTGGATGGGAGAGGCCTTGGTTCTTTCGAAGCCTTTCTCCTCCTTTAGTTTCAGCGGCACCTCTTTGGAAGGCCCTCCCTGACAACACAGCACCATCTAATGATTGCATCTCTGTCGTTCTTTGAATACTTGTTACAGCTTGAACTTAATAGTACCAGTAGTTTGTTCTAGTTTATCTGCATCCTGTCTAGACTGAGCCTCCACAAGATGCTTGTCTGTCTTGTTGACTGTTGAATGTTTAGGGAGGAGGTCAGGTGCCAGGTGTTAGAATCTTGGACGAGACAGGGTGGTCAGGAGGCCTGGACCGAGAAGGTATGTTTGTTTATAATGTCTTAATGAAGATCTTTGTGCTTATCCTACTGGAGCTTTTTGAACTTCTTAGATGTGTAGATCCATATCTCTCGTTAATGTTGGGAGTTCTTGACCATTATTTCTTCAACTGTTCTTTCTGTCCCTTATTTTTCTCTCTCTCTGGGAGCCCTACTGTGTGTGTGTAGGTACGTTTGGTCGTGTCCCCCAAGCCCAAGAGGGCTCTGTGTATTTTCCATGGTGGCATGAGTTTGGGAGGAGTCAGGCTGGAGAGGCGCGGGGTGCATCCCATCAGGTTCCTGTCCAGATGTTTTTGAAGCAGCTGCTGATGGTCGGGGGAGGAGCTGGGGGTCAGGACAAGACCTCTTCACAAGCCCAAGGCAGAGGATGCAGGACTAGGATCCCGTTGGGGGACCCCAGAACCCCAGAAGGACTGAAGACTGATGTGGGGGCGAGAGTGGCAAAGGCAGAAAGTTTTGATCATTGAGAACAACTGATCTACAAACTGTATATAATGAAATGGTTACAAATGCTAAATTTCACACTTTGCGACACTTGCACTGCTCTTCATCTGGATTCTGGGAGTTGCCGTTTGGATTTTGGAACCCGTGTGTGCGTGTGCGTGTTTTCTTTCCCCCAAATGTTCTCACTGGCTGCACGTCTGACATGCTGTGCTTACGGTGCCTGACGGATAACTAAATCGGCCCCCAGCGTCCACTGGACTCGCTGAAAAAGGAAATGCAGGTAGGGGGGCTGGCCAGCCTGAGCAGGGCTCGGCATGCCTGTGGCAGACGACGGGCTCTGGTGGAGGAGTGCGCCAGCTCCCTCACCCCTCGTGTGGAATGACTGAGGTGTATGCCCCCCACTGACCCCCAGAAGCCCAGCTGCCCACCATGGGAACTTGCGTATCAACACACTCCTGACCAACTTCATTCCCTTTCAGCCTCACCTCTCCGCCCCCTTCCAGCATTTCCTGGATCACTTCGCAAATAAACTACTTGCACTTGAATCTTTATCTCAGGGTCAGCTTCTGGGGGGCCCAGAGCACGCAGACGTTCTCTCTGGGCCTCAGCGTTCTCCCCAGGCCAAAGGGGAGACTAGCTCCCCCTGTTGCCAAGGCTGGGGGGGTGGGGCACGTGTCTGGGGGCTAAGTTCCCTGTCCCCACCTCCCAGGGTCCTTCGTTCCTGGGGAGTGGAAGGTGGAGAATGTTGCAGGGAGCAGGTCCCGGCTTCCACCCCTGGCTGTCACTCCCCGTTGTCGCTGCCGCTGGCATCTTCCAGGGTGAGGAAGCGAATGCTGCAGCTGGGAGCCAGCCCTCAGAGGAGCCGGGAAGGTGGTGGCTGCCCAGAGATGTCCACAGGGCAGCGCTGAGGGGCTGGAGGGAGAGAGAGGGGTCTGGTCTCCACGCAGCAGCCTCCTGAGGTGGGGCATGCTGTCGCTCGGGAGGCGGGAGGCAGGGCGGCCTACCCCAGTCAGAGCCTCCTGGTGCCGCTTGGAGAAGCCCAGCCAGGTGGCTGTGGGGCTGAAGCTGAGGTGCAGGCGGGTTACCAGTCCTCCTTGAAGTGCCTTCTTTTCGCCACCTGCAGGCCTGCCGGGCTCCCCTGCTGGCCAGGCCCCTGCGCAGGCCCCAGGATACATCCTGCAGCTGGCCGCCTGCAGCCATGCCAACAGCTGCCCTGGTGCCTCGCTGGCAGGGACCAGGGTGCAGATGTGGCCAGTCCAGTGGGAACAAGTGGCCTTGGGCAGGCAGGGAGGCAGGGACCCTTGGTTATTTCTCAGCTTCTCCCTCCTCCCTCCCGGGTCTCTGAGCTCTCCTGCACGTTCCAAAGAAAGGTCTGACCCCTAGTGGCTCTTGGGAGGTAGCCTCTAAGTCCTCTTTTTATATCCGGGGGTCCATGCCAGAGAGTTATGCTAAGAGTGCGAGTTTTAGGGGGGCCTTGGCCACACGGTATCCGTTTGACCTCTGGAGGGCCCAGAGACCGAGTAACTAAGGTGAGCCACGTGGGCGGTCAGCCATGTCTGTGTGACTGTTGTGGGCTGAATTGTGCCCCTCCCCCATTCATATGTTGCAGTCCTACACCCCCAGGACTTCAACAAATACATATTTGGAGAGAGGGTCTTTAAATAGGTGATTAAATCAAAGTGAAGTCTTTAGGGTGGGCCTTAATCCAGGGTAACTGGTGTCCTTGTAAGATTAGGACACAGTCGTGTGCTCACGCAGGAAGGAAGACGATGTGAAGACACAGGGAGAAGGCGGCCGTCTGCAAGCCAAGGAGAGAGGACTCAGAAGGAACTTCCAGCCTCCAAAACCGTGAGAAAATAAATGTCTGTTGTTAAGCCACCCAGTCTGTGGTGTGTTATTATGGCGGCCCTAGGAGGCGACCCAGTGGCCACGCCCCCGTGGGAACCCTGGGCACTGGCGCAGGTGAGCGTCCCCGGCTGGCAGTACCTCGCATGTGTTGTCACACATCATTGCTTGGGGAATTAAGCACTGTCCACCCAACGCGACGGGGAGGATAGCTGGAAGCTTGTGCCTCGTCTTACCTGGACCCCGTCCCAGGTGCCTTTTATCTTTGCTGATTTTAATTCGTGTTCTTTTTTCTGTAATAAACCATGGGTATAGCAACTTTGCTGAGTTCTGCGAGTCCTTCTTGTGAATCACTGAACCTGAGGGTGGTCTTGCGGACCTCCCACTATGCAGGTTCACAGAGATGGCAGTGGCTCCCCAAATCGCTGGCAAATACACACTTGGGAGTAGGAGATCCCTCTCCAGGATCCCGTGTGCAAGTCTTACTGAGTCCTTCTGTGTGCCTTGCAGCGGCAGCTTTGCCTTCGTAGATACTTCCGCCAGGCAATCTACCTCCTGCCCGCCCTCCCCCCACCCCCCCCCCCGCCCCGCCCCGCCCCGTCCCCGAGTGCCACTTGGGGCAGGACTTGAGCTGTTCCAAGCTTCAGCGTGACTTTGGGCAAGTTACCCACCTGGGAGGCTATCCAGTGTCATGATGGTTCAGGTTTTGGGGTCACACTAGGCCAGATTGGAATTGTCCCTCCCAAATCCAGCATGTGGCTGTGTGACAGCCAGTTTCCCTTTTTGAGTTGCAGTGTCTGAATCTCCAGAATTGCTTTGAGTCGCCCAATAAAATCACATATGGAGAGAAAGAAGTGTTGTCGTGTCAGACACTGGCCAGGGTCAACCCTCTCCTTCATTCCTAGATAAAATGGGCCCAAACCCCCTCCAGCCCCCTCGCTGAGATTTTGGAGAATCCCCAGATGGTTATTTTCTCATGGTCTCCCGTTGCTGCTGAATTAAATAATTCTATCGTGAGTTCACTGTTCCTGCTTCTCTCCTTGATGT